GGTCTACGAAAACTTCTCAGAAACCAGAAGAGCATGTGGGAAAGACAAAGGAGGACAACAGCGAGAAAAGATAAAAATAAAGGGCAGTGTATGAGTTAAGAAGGTTCTCATCGACTAACCCTTTCTCAAAGTCAATTGTAGTACCCTTATCTGCCTTATTTATGCAGATGATTACTTTTTTGAGAGCTCAGATAGACCTATAATGTAAATATTCAATTTGTAAGTCCAATCCATGAGAAAGCATCAGACAAATAAACAAGCGGAAAGCAGATAATTGTTTGTTCAGCAAAAAAGCAATCTCATCTCTCGTTTCTGAAGTTGCTCGGGTGTTTAATTGGTACCGAGCGCCCTCAAGTTTCCAACTGAAATTGGTGACCCTTTTCTACGTGAGTAAAAGATAAAGAGGAGGCCTCTCAAGCGCCCACAATGAAGCAGGGACGACTCTCTGCTCATTGCCTATTTTAGGTCTATGGTTACCCTTCAAAGCACCCTATCAATCCGGAGCTCTCCTCCTTCTTCACTTGGAGGGTTTCCTTCTTATCCAGTAGGCCAGGGTCTGCTAAACAACACCTGTAACGTTTTAAGCAGTTTCATTTTGTCATGGGCTATTTTCGCAATCTTTACTATGAGCACAATCTGGGCATTTTCGAAAAAAATCATTTAGGGTTCCGATATAGTGATGGATGTCAGACGAGGTTCGTTCTCATCGGCGATCAGTTTTGTTCACCAGCTTCTATGTGGAGGGACAAACGTATTTGAGACTGAAGTCCACTGGGCTCAACCTCGTCAAAAGCAATATCCATTGGTCAAGTTTCATTAAAGGAGATTAATAATCTCCAAAAACGCCTCAAGCCATGACGATATTCTGCTCTTGATGCAAGATCACCTTTCTACTGCAGTTAGAGTGGTACGATTTGTAAGCTTCTCGAGGATCTCAGGGGAAGTATCATAGGAATAAAATACGAATAATTTCAGCTATATAACACTAGAGAATCTAGTTTTTTTGATGTTAGATTTCGATTTTGGGATGCGCCCTACGTTCGACTTATTTTCACAATCGTGGTGAGGTCTTGAATGGCTGTTGGTTGAAGGTGGTTTAGCGGCAAGTGGTGCACTCCACACACGCATGGTTACGGGTTCGAATCCCGGATCAATATTCGCCTGAAGCAACCAAGCCATCCATCCCTCTGGGGTCGGTTAATTGAAACCAGACTCGTCTGGGAGGGTAAAAGCACTGAGTTGTTCATCGGCTGGCCACCGCAGGTTATTGTATAGGCCACATACGCATTCAATACTGCACTACGATTCTGAATGGAAGTCGAATGCGTGGGCGGATCTCTCTGACGGGATTGATCAAGGCTCCGGGACTTTATCCTTCTGCGAGCCCCTCAGACTTCGAACTTTTTCCTCTGCTGAATGTTTTAGCTAAAACTAGGCTTCGATGAGATCCACCAGGCGTATTCCTTATCGCTGAAAGAAATCACGGCCCGATACATGGATCTGAGCCGCTACCATTACGGCGCTAAAGCCCGTGGTGCTTTAAGATGCCTGAATTGTCCGGGCTTAGCTGAATTGTGAATTCTCACATTGAATTCATCACCATGAACGAATGAGCAATGAAAAGAAGTTCAATAATTTATGGGTCATTGCTTGATAATTGCACAATTTACAAAAATTTTAAGAAGCTTTGAGAACGCTCAGGTAGGATTTAGGCTCGGCGAGCACGGGCACGAAGGTGAGCCAAGATTTCGTTGTCGGTCTTGAACTGAGTGTCGAATGGGTCATCGAATTTGCATCCAATACGGTAGTCGATAGTGGAGTTAGCGCATTTACCACTGCGCCACATGTAATGCTCTTCACCTCGCTAAAATCAATAAAATCGATATGGATCTTCTTAGGGAGAGGATTAAATTCTAGTTAGAATTGGTCTTGTAATCTACCTTCTCGATTTGGTAGGTGATGAAGTTGAAGCAAGCTCGATGGCCCTGGGTAATGGACGAGATGAATACGGTATGTGACTTGGGACAAACCAAATCACAGTATTCCCTCTCTTCGCCTTCATGATCCTCCTAAACGGCTCTTTTTGGGTTGTGGAGAGCTTTCAACGGTTTTGTACTAGATGATAGTTTCGTATAGAAAAGAAACCGGCTAAAAACCCCACCTTCCAGCATCCGAGACCTTTTGGCACAGGTCGGCCAGGTTCGAGCTCTTCTTCCTTCAGAGTCAGTTGGCACTCTGCCCTGCAAAATAATCCAGATGAGCATTCAGAACTACCAGGAAGAATCAAAAAATGACGCTCTTATTATCAGCAAAAACAGCAAATTCGACCGAAAAAATAGGAAAAAGATAGTAACGCACCTGTCGGGACCTCCTCGAATCGTATTCGTAGGCGTTGTACATTTAAGTTCTCTGTATTCTAAAAATTAAGAACATACAGTAATCCCTGATCAAAAACGGTCGAAAAAATATTAAAAAATGAAATTGAACGACATCTTACGATGGAAAGCGATGGCCAGAGCGATGGAGGTGGCTATGAGGAGTAGTTGTCGGATCATGTTGTTCAATTAGTTGTTGATGAGGATCAAATGACTCTGTTGAGATGTTGAGATTCGATTGGGCTTTTAAATGCCCGATTGGGCGATTGTCCCGGATCGTGGCAACCGGTCTCTCGTTACACAATCAAAGCTATATGGCTATAGCTGAAGACCCGTTTCTTGTTCACACCATCATACTTCATGCTTATTCGCATAACAACAAGAATATCACACAAGTTTATAGACCATCTCGGGGAAATTACGTCATAAACGAGATTTGGATAGAAAATATCGGAAAGAATAAAAAGTTATAAACAAAGGACGCGAGTATAGTTCACAGGATACAGTAGTTGAACTGGAATCCTCCCATTTATTTGAATGAACTTTGTTTTTTCACTTTTTTTCGATTTTTTTTCAGATTTTTTTCCGGAAGTGCATGGTTCTTCTCTCCCTACTGTAAGAAATTCTATTCACCTTTAGCTCCCTGCCTTGTTAGCTTTCCTAACGTTTTATGTGGCCGAGCTCGCCCTGTCCAGTGCGATTTTTAGCCACGCCTTTACTCCTCTGAACTAGACCTAAAAAGTGGTTCAACTTGCATGATGGGTTGCTACATAAGAGCCTTTCGTAGAAATTAATACTAATTTCAGTGAAGAATGAAATGAATTTTGTTGAGACCGAGCTGTTTTTCATGGGAGCGTGAAATCTGGTCGTTTAGAAGGAAACCAATGAGGCAGAACTTACACGCTAAGCACAATGACGGACCTTAGATCCTAACGAGGATAATACTTTAGCGGTTTATCTGATTACACCAAAAGTTCCTTGTTTTGGCTTTTCTTTTCGCTCTTGGAGGGCCCTTTGAGATTTCGTAACGGCCCAACGAGCCCAGCAGAACCGTTGAACCGCCCGTTGCTGAAAATTGACTTGTAGTTTCGATTTTTTCAGTTTTCATGGTGAATTCGTGTTTAAGCTTGAGTTGGCAAATGACGTGAGCAGTAATTTTCTCGTCATACAACAACACATTGCGGGGCACATTCTCGTTGTACGGTCGGAGCCACGTTGACGCTCATTTTTTTATCTCGCTCTCATCACTTTCATGTCATGGTAATTTTTTGTGATTTTTTTGCCTTTTTTCGCTCTCGTTTCCAAATCTTCGTTTGAGAAGTTTTTCGTTTACGTCACTGATTTGACAGATATTTTTGATGACACATGTCAAAGCTTTTTTCACGCTTTCAAATTCCCCATTGCTTCTGAAAAACACCCGTATCGATTACCACCTTGAAAAAATGAGTTGGCAGAGGTGTAATAACGGGTTGAAATTGAAGTGGGTATGTGGATTGCTGAGCTGACGGCTGAAGGCATACACTCAATCAGTTACTCTCTAGCTACTGCTTACGGCACGGGGTGTGGTGCAAAAGGAACGAAACAGTCGCGTTGCGGCGAGATGGAAGCCGCGCGCGAAGGATCGACTGTTTAAAGATCGCTGGAACTGTAAGAACGAGGCAAATGGTCCGCGACAGCCGCATGCGGCGGATCGATTATGCAGAACCGTTTTTACTGCCCGTCTCCCCTTACGGCACGGAGCACGACAACTAACTAGAATCTACTGTGTCTTCGGAGGTGATTGGGACTCCTGCCAGGAACCCTGCCTTGACAAACTCAGTATCATCTAGCATGTTTACAAACTTCGCCCGCCTGGTTGATACGGAGTGTGACTTGATCAGAATCAGCTGGGATCAGTAAATTTTACCCATTGAGTTGTAGGTCAGGCTTTTCAACTATTTCTAGGACAAAAAGGTAGCAGTAGAGGTAACACCACAGAGATGGTAGCACTAGTTGTAGATATCGCAGAACTACCGCTAGCGAAGCTGGTGGTTGGGTGGACTAGACACAACAAAAAATCAGGAAGTCAGGATAATTGAAGAGGAAAGGAGGTGGAAATCAGTAGTCACTTCTTCATGTCCAGGCATAAAAAACCAAAATGATACTTAGGCTCATCACATTTCACCCCTCCTCAAAGTGGTACTAAAAAAACGTTCCACATCTTATCACGGGGTGATCATTTCTATCGTTCCTTGACATGCTACAACTGTCATTGAATGGGCGTGGTCTGTGTGGGCGGGCGGGACTCAGAAAAATCTTGTCTTTCTGGTTCAAACTCCAAAATTTTGGTATTTCTACGAAGAAAAATCCATTCTTATAAAATCGATTGGCCCAATATTGCCTGCGAGAACTAAGCACCTTTTCCTTTAGGTAACCTTAGGTTTAGCACAAACTTGAGCGAGTTTCCCATGATGATAAGCAAAAAAACTCTTAAAAACTATCGTTTTTAATGATGTTTTATTTGACTACACCGCTACATGATCTACCCTTTTTCCGCCAAATCCAAATCGATCTATCACCTCGTATCGATTCACTCATTTCACTGCTCATTTCCTTAGCTCTCGACAGCCCATCGAAGAGCTGTGTTTCGGCTTAATCCTTCCGTTTTTTGATTTCTCTTGATGAATCGTCTTGCCTCAGTTGTTTATCAGATGTTTACGCTGTTGTTTACATATTTTCAACAAATTGATCTGTATTCCTAATAATTTCCTCACGTCACAACTGCTTAATGTTTGTCCTTCTTAACAGTCACGAACACATGTTACGGCCCAAAATGTATGTCACGGCGATAAAATCCGCTCCTAATCGATATATGACGCAATGTCCAAATAGGGACTAATCCATCGAAAAACAAGTTTATATAACGGTTTTCACAAATTTGGAAACTTCTATGAACCGGTTTTGAACGGGTCCCGGCAATTTCGACGTGAGCAATTTAAGGCCGTGTCGTTCCATTTGCATCTTTTCACTATCCAACAACTTTACTGGTATACTTTAATTTGCAGAATGTTTTATTGTGGAGACTATTTCTCTTCTCTCCCATAATGCTGTTCAGCTCTCAAAATGCTTGCTCATTCGCCTAAGTATAGTAGGTAGTAAGGATAGCTCAAATTAGGCTCATAGAGATATCCATATCCGAGTATTTATCCAACCGATTCACAATCGAGTAATCCCGTCCGCTCATTTCGGTAGTGTACCAATTGTCTGATAATAGAGCGATTAATGACGACATTGGCTTGGAGATGATGCCTGAGAATCCGATCGAATGAACGATCTTTTGGCATGAGCTCTATAGCGGCGCCTCTCCCTTCATAGCCATCTTAAAGTCATTGTGGCTTATTCACAGAAATATCTCATGTACAATTACATTTATTCATCCCCCAATTTTTTTACTTTTTGTTTTTTTTTCTTCTACTTAACTTCTGGGCTTGTTTTTTTAGTTTTCGCGGTTATATGTATTACAGAAATCTCAGGGGATGAGTACCAGGAAATGGGTATACTTGAGTGTAAATATAAATAAATAATGATAAGTTATTCTTAACAGATATAATAAAATGAATTTTTCATGCCTTTAAAAACCTAGAGCTTTTTTTGAAAAGTCATTGACAGCTACTATTTGTTAATGCTTTGCAACTGGTGGATTGCATGCCAGTTGCGGGCGATTCACTCACTAACGGCTCGGGTTACCACGTTTATAAAAGGAATAACGAGGGCGACAAAGTTATAGGCACGGAAAACGGGATTCATTTCACTTTCAACAACGACATTCAGCAAACGTACATTTGACTCACCATAGAGGTTCATTTTACAGAAACAGCTTTCACTGCAGATTCTTCTTTTCCCCGATTGACAGCAATCTTATAAGATCCTATGGAAATTCATTACGATTTCTTCTAGGATTTTCATTCTAGACTCAATTTTTTAATTTATTTCGTGGTAAATTTGATGTATTGGAAGCAAAATTAATCGCTCATTCCTCGCTCGTTATCCCCACTGGAGATATCTCAAAGCCGTGGGTGCCCGAATACGGTGGCTGTCTAAGTCTGGGCAGATGGTCAATGAGGATAATAGACATTAGGCATCTTTGTAGTCAAATCAGCTTCTTGTGGTTTTTCTTTGTTGTCCAATCTGAAGGGTCAACTGATCTATGTCGAAGGTCGATGATCCACGCATTTCACTTCCATTCACAATTACACAGATGTTTAATTGTTTCCCTCGTATGCAATGACTTGTAAAGCTGGCCGATGTTCAAGGTGAAGCTGCTCTTCTCTGGTTTCTTGAAGTTCCACATAGTTTTACATCCAGCAAGTGAAGGGACTTCCTGGACCCCAACGAAATGCAACTTTCTAAAGAGCAGTTTGCGACTTTTATATGCTACCAGAATCCTTTTTTTTTTGGAAAAACAACTTGTCTCCTTTAATTTTCTATTTGCTTATTTGTTTCCCCATTTGCTCATTTATTTTGACACATGTAAAAGTGTTTATTTGTAGCATATGTATACGAAAACAAACAAAGATTTCGAAAAAGTATTTTAGATGAACACAGATTTCTAGGAAAGGTTGGTAAAAAGATTCTCTCAAGTACCATCTGGGTCTTCGAATCATTGCCCTTGAGGGTGGAATAGTTGTGCAAGAATAATTTTGTTGCAAACATTTGGTTGTGTTCACTTCCATTACTGCATTCCTAATGAAGTTACAGGTTTTTTGATGCCTTTCGCTATAATTGAATTGTCAAATGGAGTTCGCAAACTTCGTATGCCATTTATGTGCGTGTCTGATAACTAGATAGGACTTTCTGTCTTCACCTTCTAGGTTTTTCTAAGAAGCGGTGAACTCTGGTGTACAATTTCATCTGCCCATGACAACTGTTTTCAGTGAGGATCTATTTCCGCTTACAAACCAGTTCAACTCACACAACCTGAATTTTCGGTTTTTTATCCAATTTGTTTTTTGTCTTTTTTTTTTCGAGGTATTTTTAAGGGTAAAAGGTCATATTGGTCCGAAATGCGACAGTTTACCGTACGATTCCGGTGTAAATACTCTATGAGGATCG